CCCCTGCTTGTACCTCTGTTTTAAGACCCGCAATGAAACACCCGACTAGAGATTCTTCGTTCAGCCCTTTCACTCGACTGGAACTCCTCCATATACTCATGGACGGTAGAGATTTGAGAGAGTTTCGCCAACCGCCCCACATGGTTGCTTCCCAAGGGCCCGTTGAATCGAGCATCCAAGGCAGCTATAAATTGATGCCAAGTGGGCTCAGCTTGATGATCCTTGTACCAACTATACCACTCCACTGTTCATCCTTCAAACCCAAGGCTCGTCACTGCAACCCAGCTTTCCTCAGGTACCTCTTGTAGGCAGAAGTACTATTGGATGAGGAGAAGCCACCCATCCAGCCCGGTGCCTCCGAACTTCGGCAGTTCCACCTTCCATAACTTCTGCGGGGAGATGAAGCCGCTTCCTTTTGCCCCCGAGCTCTCCGTCCCCTTCCCGAAGCCACCACCAGCGGATGACCGGTTCTGGGACTCCTTCTGTTGGTCCATTCGAGAAGCGATGTAGTTTAGACGCTCCAGCATTTCAGCGAACTTCATATTCATTTCTTCACGGGATTTTTCCAAGCTTCCTATGCGACCCTCCATTGCCAGTATCTGAGCTGCCCAGGGATTCGCTTGCTCTGATACCACAATGTTAAGAACCTCTTCCCATTGCCGAGGAGAGAGCTTCGAGTTTTCCCGAGCTATGGTGAGAATCACCGCTCGAAGGAGATGACCAAAAGCGAGACCCAAGAGAATACTAATGATAAGGCAAGTTCAATCATCCGCTTCCATTATTCAATCATTTATAATCATGGGCGGTCGGAGACTATTACATTAATGATGTGACACTCAGCACAATATTAACAACCTGTACGGAGGATCAGGTGGTTGGAGAGGAATATTCGGAGTGGCTGGAGTGGCTATTGTGAGGCGGTAAGTCGGTAACGCCCCGTATCACAAAGCCGAGGCTTCGAAGGACACTCATCATGAAGAACCACTCCATCCTGTAATAAGATTTACCTAAGGTCACACTTAAGCATGAAGTAGCTAATCTTGCACATCTACCTTTTCAACGTGTGAATAATCTCATGATAAATGATTGTATTATCTGAAATTTGCTTGCAAGGAGTGAAAGTTGACTGGTAGGGTGATATAATGTCATGGAGTAAGTGCTTGAGCCTAGAATTAAGTAGTGATTTTGACTATAACCTTGTACAAAACATTACTCAAACCAATAGGACGGAAGTCCTTTGCTTCTTCAACCTGTTGCAGTTTGAGAATTGGACGAATAGTAGTTTGGTTGATCTCTCTAATTCTTTTAGGATCCCTAAAGCAGCCCTGGATGCATTCAATTAATTCATTACCAATAGTAGACCAACTGGCCTGAAGAAAGTATGCAATCCATCGAGGCCTGAATGCTTTCGACGAACCAATGCTAAAAGCTATTTTTTAATTTCTTGACTTTTTAGTATTTGACATGGCAAATTATTAGAAGCATGTTGAACAATGGCAGGCAAACCGGGGAAGTCACTAAGGCCGAGTTTGAAAGGATTACAAATGCAAGTATATAGAGTGTAAAACCTTATATTTTGTATTATTTTGCATTTGTACTCTTTCCAAACTGAGCCTAAGGAGGTCTGGGAGAGAAGAAGTAAACAAAGACTACAAGTAACTATATAGAGCAGAAAGTATGACCTATTGTGAAGGGGACCATTTGTGTTGAAGTCCTTTATGCACCGGTCACCTTCAATATGCCATTTTACTTTAGCTTGTTGTTTCCAATAACACTCTTCATAATCAAGCCGAACTTAGGCCCCGGTTGGTTTGCAGGAATAGGGATCTGGAATCGGAATCAGTAGGAATGGGGACAGGATGGGGTGGGTGGGGCCAGGTTTTGCCTGTCCCGTATCCAACCCCAAATTCAAATTCTCCACCTCATACCCACGTCAAACTCCATCAGGGCTAAAAATCCTAACCCCATCCCATTGCTGTAGGGGATTGAGATCTCCGACTTTGCCCCGCCCCACCCCGTCCATTCTTACTTGTATAGTTATTAATTTAATTTTTTATTTTTTTTGAAATCTACCTAGAATTAATTTATATTATATATTATGTAATATAATATATAATACTAATATATATATACATATATATTATGTAATATATATTACCCCGATCAGTGGTAAAAAAACCCACCCCAATCGGGGTGGGGCCCCATAGGGACAGGTGAAATTGCCATCTCTATGAATCAGAAATGGGCTATTCCGATTCCAATTGTTTGGTTGAGTAGAATGGAATTCTATTCCCATTCTTACTGGAATGACATTCCCCCATTTGAGGGAATAGTCATTCCCCCATTTGAGGGAATAGTCATTCCCTGCCCCTCCCTTGGAAATGAAATTCCATTCATGCCGATTCCAATTTTCGTTACCGTTCCTGTCTGATCCAAACAAACTATAGAAATAGACCATTCCGATTCCAATTCTAACTGTAAACCAAACAGGCCCTTATTCTTATCTAGTTTTCAACTCCAACTCAGAATCTGCGGTGTTAATATCAGACCCCAATGTTTGAATACGCGTCAACTTAGCGTCCAAAGTTTGAGTAAGGTAAGAAATTTGACCAAACTGAACTGAGCGTGTAGTTTTATAGAAATTTGAATACGGTAAGAAATTTGAATCGCCGCAAACTGTGCATAGAAAGTTTTATAGAAAGTACCTTCTATTGAAATGAAACTGTAGTTAAAGTCATCAATGGAGCATGGTCGCTAGCAATGATTGGTAGATGGATAACCGAAGCCTTTATGATATTTTTATTAATTAAGTTAAAAAATAAGTTTAATAAATAAGAATTATTTTTATTCATGATAAAAATGATATACATAATTTAAAACTAACAAAAAATGAAATTATTTTACTATTTCACAAAGATCAATAGTTTAACTTTTGGGTCAAATGTATTAACCTTAAATGTAATAAATAAATAAATAAAATTCAAGCACATGTATAATGTCATATATTTATCATATTAAGCAAAAATTAAGTGTGGCATATCAAAATTATATATATATAGTGAACATATCTATAATTCTATATTTACACTACTAATAAAAATATGAAATATAGTAGAACTTTCATTTGACTAAAATATTCACTTTGAATTTAGTCCCTATTTAGTTGTGAGGTTTAAATTGTAAATTAAACTACTACTTTTCACCTCATTCAATTCTCTCTATTTAAATGTTGCATTTTTTTGATAAATGAATAAGAAAAGATACACCAAAAAAATAAAACATTACAAAAGTTTCAATGATACTTGAAACTTCACAACTCAATCCGATTATCATATATTTGGATGAGGTGTTTATGTAATCAAATTTGGATTTGGCAATCTGCTTTCGATTAATAATTAAAAACAAAATATAAAAAATGCATAAAGCTTACAGAAATTTTTGACACATTATTATTATCATTATCATCATCTAGAATTAATTGCCACGTACAAAGCACATGCACACTTGCTAGTAACATAAGAAATATCAAATACAAAACTTTGGTCAATCATAAATTCTAGTAACAATGAAATTAATATTGGAATCTAAAACATCCACATGAAGATTTTTATACCAGTTTAACCACAGACCCCCAACTAAACTGATGGCTTCAACAATGTGTAAATGATATAGTCTTTACAAAACTGAAGAGTTTTCTTAAATTTAATTTTTTTACTTTTGTTTTAGAAATAAAGAAAACGAGCTTGTACTTGTTTAGGAGCCTTTGAAGAGGTCGAACTATAGGGGGGCTCCCTCCCCTTGACATTTCTAGACCAAGAAGCTCATGGATTGAGAAGAGAGGTAAATTTTGTTGGGCTTTGCCTTGCCAGTGTTTTCATGATTTTTGTGGGCCTAAGCAGCCCATCCAAATTCAATGGATTCTCCTGTGTATTCAAACTTTGTATTCTCTCGAAGGATTCACGTGCCCATTTTTTTTAGGCCCACACTGGATTTTGAAGAAATTGAATGTGGCAAGGCACTAGTTACACCTTCCAAATTAGAGTGGCTTGGATCCAAATCCTTGGAGGGACGATCTTTTTGAATAATTATTCCCACACCAAGATTTTTGTCCAAAACTACTTCCTTATGCTTCTGTTTTATTTGAATGATCTTCGTCTTTACCAAAAATAAATAAATAAATAAATAAATCTGACTCCACCTTCCAAAAAGGATGGGACGTTAAAGTTATCCTTAAGGAAGGGTTCATTGGTTCTTTGGATTCTGAGAAGAAAAATCAGATTTGGTGCTCACAAAATTGCTCTTTACCATTCTCACAGCCTTTTTCAGCTTTGTATTGAGATTCTCCCCATGAATAAATAGATACAACATATGGAGATATGTGATACCTATCTCCCAGGTGTGTAAATAACTTTTCTGCCCCTTTTAATAATGGATTTTTATGACTAAAACAGTCATTAACTAATTTACCTGGAAAATAAAAAAAAAAACATGGGTAAATACACTTACCCGAGTATATAAATAACTTCCCGGAAAGCAAATGAGGCCTAATAGGTAATTTATCAGAATTACTGTTTAATTGCTCTCTAAGTCTCTCAATCTCTTGCATACCTTTTGTGCTCTCATTGTCAATCTCTTGTGGGTTCAAAACTAGAGGTTTATATTTCAATTCTTGTGAATGGTTTTCCGAAGGCTCTTAAATTTCTTCCTCGTCACTTCCGTTTTGCATTGTTCCATCCTGTCAAGAATATCCAACCTTATTTTACAACATTCATAGTCATGCCCTATCCTCCCACAAAGACTAATGAATTGAGGGAGTCACTCATAAATTGCTAATGAGATGAAAGATGAAAGCCATTCATGAAATGTGATGTTGAGCATTAAATTACCATATAAATTTGCTTTCCAAAATCGCCCATGTTTTGAAACTATGTTGAACCTGGTCACTGGTGCTGCTCTCAGTATGGAAAATATTATTCAAGTAGTTCACAAGACGATGAAAATATTCAAACTTACGATAATCCCATAATTTATTTTTCGATCATAAGTTTGTTTAAATTTTCTATAACTCACACTAAGGAGATTTTCATAAAAGCTTCCCAGAACTTCTGTATACTCATCTTTCACAGAACCCCAAGTGTCTGATCTTTGTAGGGAAAAATGAAGATCGTGAATACAAATGCAAAACATATACATACAATGTACAAAGAAGAACAATCCAGAAGTCATAAACTACTGCACTCTTTCATTCAGATATTCACATCCCAGTCTGACTGGGAAGAGATGATAGGGCGATGTGGAAGACTTACTAGTCTGTGGCTCACCTATCAAGTGGCTATGCATATCACTCTCACTGTTGCTATTTTCATTCTGTTGATAATGATCCATCACAGTCCCAACACTCGAATCATGACTGGACATACTTGTATCTAAAACAAATTCTTGAACAGTGGTTTGGCCTTCAAGCATTCTCACCACAGTAGACATGGTAGGCCTAACTGATGCAGATGCATTGGTGCATAGAAAAGCCACATTAATCACTGTTATAACCTCATCTTTGTTGAATTCAGGTCCCAACCTTGGATCTACTAGATGCATCAAATTTCCTTTCTCTTTTAGAATGAGGGCCTAAAATGGAAAAAGATGAATAGGCATTAATTCGTAGAAATCTGCTTACACTAAACAATAGAAAAAAAAGTTAAAGTACAAGTTACCCAATCAAGAAGATAATCGCATTCTTCCTTTCCCAAAAAACTAGTGTTGCTTCTCCCACTGACAATTTCCAAGGCAACAACTCCAAAACTATAAACATCTGCTTTATCTGTCAAACGACCCCTCATTGCATACTCTGGTGCCATATATCCACTGAAATTCAAGATTAACATACATTATATATCCCCCACTAAGATCATACCCACACAAAAGATTCAGTGGTGTATGTAAAGAACATTAATGTGGTCCCCACCTTGTTTATGTTCGTTTATTTATGTTTAGTTTTAGTCAGTAATTATTTTTCAGTTGGTAGTTATTGGTAGTTATTCTCTTTTCATTGTTTATGTAAACAGTAGGGGTAATTCAGGCTTTTCCCCTATTCTTAATTGTTAATATAAATTGCTGTGGGGCGACAATCATAGACATAACCCACAATTCTGTTGACTTCTCTTCGTCTTCTTCTTTTCTTCTCTCTTCTTATTCTCTAACTGACTGCAGTCCTACTTTACAACTTGGTATTAGAGCCAACCTAGGGCTTCTCATGTTAGTCTAATCAGGCCGACTACATGAGAACTTCCTAGGGTTGGAAGTTCCAGCAGAAAGAAGATCATCGGCTGATCCTTGGAGGTTGCTGGCAGTGTGCGGCTGCTACTCAAGGGACTGTAGAGCCTTGGAGAGATCCAGTGATCAGGAAGAATTAGAAGGGTAGAATCCTCAAGATTAGGGTTCAGACATCAGTTTGAAGGTGGCAGCCAGACTTTTTTCTGAAGTTTATTTTTTTGAGATCGATCTGAAAAGAAGCCTTTTTTTATTATTCTGAGATGTGTGCGGCTGGGAAATCTTCTCTTTTCTCCTTGGTTTTAGGGTTTTAATCCCAGGACTAATTGTAGATCAAGAGAAAACCCTAAAACTCAAGATTTGTTAATTCTGGGGCAGTAGTTGGACCTGTTTCACCATTCCAGACTAAGTGATTTAGTTTTCTGGAAATCTAGCAGAGCTGTTCTAATATTTCTGGGTAGTTGCCGAACCTAATTCGCCCTCCTAGGTTGGCTGTTAACAAATTCTGGATGCGGTTTCACTTATCTCAGTGCTAAAAAGAGTGTTATTTGACCAATAACTTGACAAGAATGGAGTTTAAGAATCAAGGGGAAGGTGTTTTGGGGGCTGGTGGTTCTGATAACATGTCTGAGAACACATTTCAGATTACAACTGTCAAGTTTGGCGGATCAAATTACTTGGAATGGGCCCGATCAGCCATGATGGCCCTTGGGGGTAGAGGAAAACTGAACTATTTGTTGGGGGATGTGAAGGAACCAACTAAGGAGGACATGACCTATGCCAAATGGGTTCAGGAGAACTATTTGGTTATGACATGGTTGTGCAACTCCATGCAGCCTCACATCAACAAAAATTATTTGTGGGCAAAAACAACTAAGGAAATTTGGGACATGAAAAAAAACCTATTCCCAACCTTTTATGCTAGGACTTATGAGCTGAAATGTGAAGTGAACAACCTTAAGCAAGGAGAGAAACCAGTCTCAGTTTACTTCTCAACCTTGAAATCCCTGTGGCATGAAATTGACCACCTAGAGACAATTGAGTGGGAAAGTCAAAAGGATGCACAAATTTATAGAAAGCAAGTTGAAACTAATAGGGTGTTTGAATTCCTGGCTGGTCTGAATTCTGAATATGATATTGTGAGACAACTTCTCACGAGAAAAAGTGTGACCTTATCACAAGCCTACTCCTTAGTGCACAGTGGAGAAAGTAGGAGAAAAGTTATATTGCAACATCAACCTTTTGAATCAGCCTTGGCAGCAGTCAAACCAAAGTTTGGGGGTGATAAGGAGAGGGATATGAAGAAGGAAGATAAGAGGGAGCTAGTATGTGAATATTGCAAGAAACCAAAGCATACTAAAGGCACCTGTTGGAAGTTACATCCTCATCTAGTTCCAGCAAAGCTCAGAAACAAAAGGGGAAATTCTAATGTAACTGCTACTACTGATGGAGCATCCTCATCAAACACAAGAGCTACATCCCTAGACACCTTAGTTGCTGTCCGGGCTGCTCTGACTTAGTTGGAGAGTGAAGTTGGCAATTCAACACCATTGTCTCAGCCATCAGTCACAACTTCTATTACTCCCACTTCAGTTTTTGCTCATTCAGGTACACGAGACTCAACTTATCATGCCTCAGGCCTAGGTAACACTGAACCTTGTTGGGTAATAGACTCAGGTGCATCTGATCACATGACTAGCTTGCCTACATTGTTTACTACCTATCACTTATCTTCTAGTAGAGACAAAGTGTCTATTGCTAATGGCTCTCTTGTTCCCATTTCTGGCAAGGGAGACATCAAATTGTCTAATGCCATTTCTTTGTCTTCAGTTTTGCATGTTCCTAAACTTAGTACTAATTTGCTTTCTGTTAATATTGTCACTAAAACCCAAAATTGTTTAGTGACATTTCTTTCTGATCGATGTGTTTTTCAGGATTTGGAGACAAGGAAGGTGATTGGGATTGGCCGTGAAACAAATAGAATCTACCTGCTTGAAGGGAACTCACATGGGGAAGAGAGTGAAGTTGGGAGATCTTTTGTTTCTCAGTCTATTGGTTAGGTTATGCTTTGGCATAACTGGTTAGGTCATTTATCTTTTAGGTATTTGAAAAGTTTATTTCCTAGTTTGTTTGAGTCAGTTCAAATGTCCAATTTGAAATGTGAAAGTTGTGAGATTGCAAAGCACTGTAGAACAACCTATTCCTTGAGTAATAAAAGAAGTAGTATTCCTTTTGAAATTGTGCATACTGATGTTTGGAAACCTAATCATATCACTGCTATGGGGGGGTACAGATATTTTTTGTTGTTTGTTGATGACTGTACTCGCTTTTCATGGGTTTACCTTGTGCATTCTCGAGATGAGGTTCCTACTTTAACCAGATCTTTCATCAGATGATTTTAACCCAGTTTGGGGTCAAAATCAAAATTTTCAGATCCAATAATGCGAAAGAGTATTTTGCCAAACCCTTAGCTCATATTTCCTTGACCATGTGATTATCGATCAGAGTATCTGTCATCATACACCTCAGCAAAATGGGGTTGCTAAGAGGAAGAATAGACATATATTGGAGGTGGTTAGAAGCACTATGTTTAACTCCAATGTGCCTATAAGATTCTGGGGAGATGCCATTGATACAGCTGTATATCTCATCAACCAAGTTCCTTCACGGGTTCTAGACATGAAAGTTCCATTCACCCTCTTATATCCTGATAAAGAGTTGTTCACTATTCCCCTCAAGACCATTGGATGTACTTGCTTTGTTCAGACCCTTGGACCTCATCGTTCCAAAGTTGATCCTAGAGCCTCAAAAATGCATTTTCTTTGGTTATGCACAAACTCAAAAGGGATATTGTTGCTATAAACCTACTTCTGGAAGGAGGTTTGTCTCTATGGATGTCACTTTCTTTGAGGATGTATGTTATTATCCTAGGGTTTCTTCTCAGGGGGAGAGTAGTGAGGTGGGGGTTAATTCATTAGAAATTCCATTACTTGTCCCAATCACTTAAGGAAAGTGTAGTGAGGAAAGTTGTCAGAGGTGTCGGGATTTGAGAATTTATCACAGACAGTGGAGGTAGGTTGATTTCAGTCATCAGCAGTCTAGGCCAGCTCCAGTTCCTTATGCAAATCCAGATCCAGGTACCACAATTCCTCCATCTTCCATTACAGATGAGATACCTTCCATTGTTGAGCCTTCACCTCCATTTGATGACCTTGATCTTCCCATTGCAATCCATAAAGGGAAACATCATTGTACCTCATCTATGGCTCATAACATGACTCTATCAATAGAATCTGGCAAAACAGACTTCAAAGAAACTCCATTAGGTGGTCCAAGACTCCTATCAAGTATATTCCATTCACCTCATGGCCACTCCCAATCATCCTCTGGGATTTTAGGTCTTGAAAAACACAATGGATAGGAAAAAAGGTTATGCAACAATTCATAGATTTAGTTAAGCTACTAACAGATAAAAGGTTGGTATTAAGCTTGGGGACATGAAGAACAGAGGATAAAATAAGTGTGCTAGAGGCTTTGATATCTCCTTTGCCAGATATGGGAGCAAGAGACCCATCAGCAAGGGATATCTTCTCTCTACCAGAGAGGAGATGATATGTACAAAAGAGGTTAAATAAACTGGTCATATGGCCTGATGCACTAGAGTCAATAATCCAAGGGATTTTATGATTACCTAAAATCGTAGCATGATTTGCAGAAGCACGAGTACCTAAGTGAGCAAATGCAGATGATGACGTGTTGCCTTAAGGGTTGGATTCTGAAACAGTGGTCTCAAGTGATTAAGTAACCTCCTATACTTTTCAAACTCTGCCCTTACTGCTGCCAGCTGGTCTTTCTTCACTTTCCTTGTTTCCACCCTCAAGCACAGTGGCAACATTAGCATTCCTAGTTAGACCATTCTTCCTAAAGTTGTTGTTATTGTTGTCAAGGTTCAAAGTATCGATATGATACGCCCCATATCGAGTGTATCGTATTGTATCTTTTGGTCTTGATACACCTACCTATAGGTGTTTCGGGACCCCCATTTATTTCAATAAAAAACACTTAAAAATCATCTCCAGAAATCAAGTTTTGAAAAGAAAAACTAAAAAAAAGCATTGAGCGGTGAGTTTTTAATACCGATACGCCCCTGCCGATACACAAGGGCGTATCGATACTTTGAACCATGATTGTTGTTGTTTCGAAACTTGTTCAAGAGATGATCTAGATGAAGTTTCCAACAAGTGTCCTTAGTATGCTTCGACTTCTTGCAGTATTCACATATTACTTCCTTCTTTTGAATCGGCCCCTTCGGCTTTATTCCAACATGTGCAAAGTGTTCTGTAGGTGGTCCTTGTAACTGTACTTGCTGCCTACTCCCTTCACTACTTACCATAGCATATGCTTGGGCAAGAGTGACCTCATCTTTGGCCAGGATGTTCTGCCTAGTAATATCGAACTCAGGGTTGAGTCTTGTGAGAAACTCAAACACCCTATTTCGTTCCACCAGTTTTCTAAATGTCTCTACATCTTTACTACTATCTCATACAACTGTCTCCATAACATCAATTTCCTACCATAGTGACTTCAACATGGAGTAATAAACTGCTACACTCTTCTCCCCCTGTCTCAGATTGTTCACATCACTCTTCAGCTTATAGGCTCTTGCAACATTTAACTTCTGTGAATATGTTTCTGTGATACTATCCCAAATCTCCTTGGTTGACATCATCCAGAGGTAATGCTGACTTATATGGGGCTGCATAGAGTTGACCAACCACCTAATCACTATGTAGTTCTCCTGCATCCATTTCTCATATGCAGGGTCTATCTCTGCAGGTTTCACCTTACTACCTGTGAGATACCCTAGTTTACCTCTACTGCAAACATAAATCCGTATGGACTGTGCCTAGGCTAGATAATTGGTTCCATCTAGTTTAATTGTAGTTACACCAGTCAAAAAGGAATCTACCGAACCAACCCCGGATACCGGCATCTGCTTCATTCACTTCTAGATTGCTCCATTGATCAAATGAAAATCAAAAACCTACTTTTTTGTCTTTATAGACCTAGTTGAGGTCAGTACAGTTCCTAGAGGTTCAAAAACTAAGGTTTCACAACAACCGGCTGTCGGGGAGGAAGAGAGAAGAAATAGCCGCTCCTACCAAAGCTTCCCAACCCTCTTCAAATCTCAACCACACACTTCTGGGGATCAAACTACACCTCCCAAGCCCTGAGCGCTACACCCAACTCTTCTCCTTAACCTATAACTTGAAATCTCTCTAGTCAGCTAGGGTTTTGGGCAGAAGAATTACAACTCCAATTCCTAGCAATTTTAGGCCAGATTTTAACTCTCCAAATCCTCTACCAACTAGGCAAATAGTCCTCTGATTGATCAGCAGCTTATCTCTCCATACACTCTTCTAATTGAAGGGTGTATGGGAAAAAAGGAGAACAAGAAAAGAGGAAGAACTACTTTGATACCGAGATGTGAATCTGTCCTTCAAATCTGATATAAAACTGATAAAAAAATAAGAAAAGTGAGAGAAAAAAGAAGGTTACAGCAGAATAGAATAAGATGGAAAAGAAGAAGAGAAAAGAGAAGAGAGTTCGATGGGTTTCTCTCTCCCTTCACTAATCTTTTATTAATCTTAATAAATTATGCTAATTGCAAGTCTGCCCTTTAAGTGGGCGGCCAGAAGAGCAAGAACTTAAAAGAAATTAAAAAGAGATTAACAGGCCCATTAACTCATAAAACAGATAGAACACTACTTAAACATAAAACAAATATTAGGGCCCATTCAGCCCAGTCTCTCTACAGTAGCTTCTACCAAGAATGGTTCTCATAAAAGTCTAGTTTTATTTTTATGAGATTAACATATATTATATATGCCCTACTAAGATCATACCCATACACAAAAAAGATTCAATAATGTGCCTTCTACCAGAGAATAGTTCTCATAAAAGTCTACTTCAATTTTCTGCATAATAAATTTCCATGCAACTTAAACCAGTAAAGATTTCTATCGGTATTGTTCTAAAAAAGGGCAGCCCAGTGCACGGAGGCTCCAGCCAATGTGGGGTCTGGGGAGAGACAGATGTATGTAGCCTTGCCCCTGCACATACAGAGAGGTTGTTTCCAAGATTTGAACCCTAGTCACCCAGGCCGCAATGGAGCAGCCCAAGTGTTGCGCCAAGGCCCACCCTCTTGCTATGGGTATAGTTCTCAAAAGATCAAATATAATTCAGAAAAATTGGCGAATCTCTTCCAATGAAAAAAAATCGTTAAGTTCACAGAATTAATATAATATTTTCCCTATTCACTAAGAATACAAAGAAGTATGTTAAACAATAAATTATGAATAAATTATGACATTTAATGCAGAATGTGGAGTATAGTAACTCACTAGGTTCCAGCTACTCGAGTGCTTAAGTGAGTCTTCTCTTCTGGATCAAGCTTAGCCAAGCCAAAGTCAGATATTTTAGGATGAAGATCTTTACCAAGCAGTACATTAGTAGCTTTGATGTCCCTATGAACAATCTTCAACCTTGATTCTTCATGGAGATAAGCTAAACCTTTAGCTATTCCAACACATATTTTGTGCCGTGTTCTCCAATCCAATTTTAATTGGCATTCTTCTGGCCCTTCATATCATCAGATCAAAACAAATTAGAAAAGTAATCTTCTAGAAACAGAATCTACCAATTCCAATACAAAAGTAAACATGCAATTTAAGAAAATGGCACTCAAGTTACCAAATAAAGCGCGGGCAAGACTGTTATTTTCCATGTACTCGTATACTAGCAATAATTGATTTCCTTCCACACAGCATCCATAAAGGTTTACAAGGTGAGGGTGTTGGAGAGCAGAAATAATGCCAATCTCATTCACAAATTCACGAGTTCCTTGTTTTGATTTTGAAGAAAGCTGCTTTACTGCTATCATGGTGCCATCAGATAGAAGACCCTACACTTGCAGGAAGGTTGGGTTTATTGTATGCAAAATTCAAATGAAAGAAATGAATACATTTGATGACAGAGAATTAGGTTATTCTAAATTTTTCTTTTTAGAATACCTTATAAACAGGTCCAAAGCCACCTTCTCCTATCTTGTTTGCAGCATCAAAATTGTTTGTGGCAACCTTAATTTGTGTCAAGGTAAAGGAACTAGTATGTAGGTCTAGACCAGTCAGATCTGTCCAAGGAGCTAAAAATGGATGTTATATGTCTCTTAATAAGCTAAAAATTGATTTCTGCCTAGTATGTTGCATGTAAACCAGAAAAGTCCAAATCATGAGATTGTGAAATCATGTCTGAATAAAAAATCAAAAGATAAAAAGAAACAGAATATCCAAAAATAAGAAATGCATGTAGGTATTCCTTCGTCTTTTGATGGAATAGCATGAAATCTAAAACATAATCTTCAAAGGAAAAACCAAATGCATAGAATTTCAAGAAAAGTATGAAGAAGTATATGAAATAGATAGAAAAACTTTCAAGAAAACACCAAGGACAAATTGGTAACTCTCTGTAGAAGAGTAATTTCTTATATGGTAAATTCTCACTCATTTCTGATGATACCAGTGAAGCATATGAGTTTTCGTTGCTGCCCCCCCCCCAATCCTCTTACCATCATCTCCACCCTCCTAACTATATTAAAAAACAGAACAAAACTGGTAAGATATTGCCAGTTGCTCCCACCTTGATCCATTGTGTTTTTGTGACCCAGATAGCCTCTCCACCAAAGGAAACCCAGAACAAAGAAGATAAGCCCTGCTATGGAAACCACAATTCCAGCCACAGTACCTGTAGATATCTTCTTTTCACCTTCTAGAGGAGGATGGAAATCTGTACAAGCAAACAATATCATCATGCTAATCAAATATTAGATGATTGTTCAAAGAATATATACATAATAATTGGTGCAACAGCATACTGAAAAACCAATTCCGAAAAGAAAGTATTCCATTAAACTGAAAGAAAGAAAGAAAGAAAATAGAAATACAAATGATAGGAAACATCCAAAAAGACGATCAATATCAGATCCATATTCTCTAACAAGTCAATCCTCTTGAAAGGCCCATGTTTATTGGATTTTTTCAAATTCTTTTCCACATTTATTGAACAGAAGAATATCAGAACTCCTGTATTTGAATGCCATTTTTCATGACTTTTTTATATTGACTAAAACACCATTACCCAACGTTGATTCAAGCTATCTGGGGTCTTGGGAGGAGTGGACTGGATATAGACCCAACTTTTGGCTCTTTTTTTGCATAAAGTGGCCTCTCTCAGACTTGAGCCCACATTCTTACGCTTATCAGCCCAAGATTTTACTATTACATCAAGCAATGGCCCCTACCTTTTAATATCGAGTTTAAACTAGGGAAAACAAGCATGAAAGTTGGAGTGATCCAATTTAAATCAAATAATGCAGATAGTAACATAAAATCACTATATTTAACTTGAGAGACTCGTATTAGAAACAAGACCAGAAAATTCAAAACATAACAATAGGAAGCTTTTCAAAGCAAACTTACTAGGTACCACAGAGATGGCAGATATGAGAGGACCATAGGTTCCTGGAGAAGGTATTCTTGTTGTCCCTTTCCCAGCCCAATAGAAGCGGATTTCTAACATGTGACTTCTTACATCTACCAAGGGAAATTTTTTCACAACTGCCTTCCAAGCTCCACCTGCTTCGTCTACTATATTGAAATCTTTCAGCACTAATTCTTCCTGCATTATGCTTCATCTTAGTTAAACCTGACTTCTATAGACTTTTGAAAGTTTATAACTATATGACATGCTTGAGCACCTGAATATAAACATCAAATACACGCCTTGCAAAGCCAGTATGGTTTCTGTCACTTGTAAACATGATCTCCGCAAAATGAAGGCTCACAGTGTAACTCCCAGTCAGAAGACAGTATACTATATAAGTGAGAGAGATGGGAGAAATGCGTGCTGTTGTGTATAATAAAGCATCATTCAATAAGAGTTCAGAGGCATTGGTCACTATAAAGTTATCTTTAGGATTTTTATTGTCTGTGAAGCTACCAGTGCTGCTAAATGCCCAATTGTTAACAGCAAAGTATTTTGCAGGTCCACCAACATCTTCATCAGCTTCATATTTGCTGCCATTAAATTCTCTCTCTTTTCCACCACAATTTATATGGAGCTCATATAATTCTAGCACCAAGGAGAAATAGATTAGAACTAACTGGACAGAACCAAGGAAAGATAGCATAGTCAAAATTGTCTAGTATAATCCAATTAAAAGCTGATGGTTAAGTAAAACCATATTACAGAAGATTTCTCGTATGTTTAGGCAATAGCTTGTCCAAAATAATAGTGACAACCTTCCACATTTTCTTTTTCATCCAACTATGGATGTGCATTCAAGAAAGTCTTTCAAGAAAAAGAGTGTTGGCTTCTTACTTCCCCCTTTCTTGCATTGTAAATTTCCAGCCGTTGAACTCAGAATACATATATACATACATACATTCCTATTTTTGATTGATTACATGAAAATTGTATTGAAGTCTTGAAGATGAAGAGAATTAGTAGGTATAGTTACCTAGGCTTCCAAAAGTGACAACTGAATAACATGGGGAATATAAGAAACACATGCATAAAAATCCCAATAGTGACAACTGAATAACATGGGGAATATAAAAGTTTTGAGATAATTTGATGTTGTAGTGGTCAGGGGCCAACAATTCCATCAGATGTTTATAAACCAAAAGTAGATATCTTAAATCAGTATTTCCTTTGTATTAGGCTTCCCAGAGTTTGAGTTCTATTTTTATCTGTAAGAACAAACTACAGAACAGGGATAAAAGGTGAAAAAGTGAAGAAAGTTTAGATGCTTCTCTTGCATCTCAACCATTAATGTGGAAAAGCATCTCTTTAACTTGTAATGGTTTAGGACAATTGCCATTACGACTAGAGAGAGAGAGAGAGAGAGAGAGAGTGAGAGAGAGAGAGAGAGAGGGAAAGAGAGAGGAGAAACACCAAGTAGAAGAAGCAGTCAGCAAGATTGTAGAGAAACTGGGCCGAATAGGGCCCGGTACTTGTTAGTTATTTAATAATGTCTTCTTTATGTTTTATTTGTTAATGGGCCTTTTCATTACGGGCCTATTAGCTTCTGTTTTGTTTCTTTTAAGTGATTGATGAGCTGACCGCCCACTTAAGGGCGGAGATGTAATTAATCTCAGTTAAGTTAGATTAAATAAAAGATTAGTGAGACAGGAGAGAAGATCATCGAACTCTCTTCTCCTTTCTCTTCTTCTCCATCTTCTTCTTAGTAGAAAAGTTTTGATAGCTGTTTTGATATAAACTCTGTGAAAAAGAAGAAAGAAGAAGGGAAAAGTTTTTGCTAGAAAAGAAAAGAAGAAATAGAAGAGAATGAGAGGAAGCCAAGAAAAATCAGATCTGGCTGCCCCTTTCTTTTTAATTATATACTCATAAAAAAAGGTGTACAAGTATGCCCTTAGTAGGTCAGCTACTTGTAAGAAGCTAAAAGCCCACTTAACTTAACATAAACTAATGGGCCTAAGGCCCAACAACTTCCTAACTAAATTATGTAAATAAAAATAAATAAAGCCGGCCCAATAACTCAACACTCCCCCCCAATCAAACGTGGATCAATGTCAGTTGAACCTGGAGTCTCTGAGGAGTCAATAGGAAGTGATGTGGGTTCTTCTGCTGTGGAATCAACCTCCCTGTGCAGTCGTAAACACTGTCATGTAAAACACTGAGGAACAGGACGCAAAGGAGGTGGTAAAGTGGGTGAAACAGGTGGGTTGAACACTGGAGTGGACAAAGGGGCTAGAACCAAAAGTGGTATAGACTGCTCACTTCCTTCCCCAACGCACTCCCCCTGAGAAGAACCCCCCAAGAAGAAAGGTGTGGACTCAAAAAAGGTGACATCCATAGTAACATACCGACTACCAGAGACTGGGTCATAACAACAATACTGTTGAGAAAGTTTAGGCAAGGGTGTTTTTAGTCTTTACCTCTTCTTTTTATACTCTTTGTATTTGGGTGCCCAAGTAGGGACCTCTTTGTAATTTCTTGTTTCAAAATATAAAATGCTTTTTGAGGGTGTGAACAGTAACAAGAACACATCATTCGACACATTCCTCTCTTCTTCTCCTTTCTCTCTTTCTTTCTTCCTTTCTCATACAAACCCTAGATTTACAATACTAGTTGACAACATGGTACTAGAGGAAGGTTAAGGCACTTGGGAATACCTTTCTTGCTAACTCTCTTGCACGAGATGAATTGCAGACGTCAGACTGCCACCGGATGACGTCAGAAGTCCGTACAGGTGTCGGCAGCAATACATGAATCATATATGGTTTGATTCGCCCTGATTTTAGAAGATTTTCGGTATGGCTCTTGTCTTCGTTTGAAGTTTCTATGATTTTTAATAGATTTTTCAAGCAGAAAATCGCAAAAAATCCGGATCTGATGTCGAGCCTTATACACTTTGTTTAATCAGTTTTTTTTGTTGCAAAACCTAGACCATTCAGGTCGTTTTTTACCTTGGGAGTAACGGGAAGTGGTCCTGTATTTTTCTAAGCCCTAGACAATTTTTGGGAGATTTTCTTCTCCCTCTATTTTGGTGCCAACTTAGTTTTTTGGCCCTTTTTTGCTTCTTAACCGTGTGGTGGCCTAGTTTCTTGGGTCCTTAGCTGTGGTTAAGTATTTGGGGCCCCTTTTGGCTGGCGCGAAAGTGTTTTGATAGATTATGGAATCATCTAAGGATGTACAGATGGTTTCCAGTGTGTTCCTAGGAAGTGCAGACATTTCCAGTGGTATGATAACCACCATTAAACTTGATGGAACTAACTTTTTAGAGTGGTCCCAATCTACTAAAGTTACCATCAATGGGAGAGGTAAATTGGGATTCATCACAGGAAAGGAGGTGAAGCCAAATCTGAAAGATCCAAAATATGCAAAGTGGGAACAGGATAACTCCCTTGTAATGTCATGGTTGATTTGCTCAATGCAACCTCATATTGCCCGAAACTACATGTTTCTTCCAATGGCCAAAGATATTTGGGATAGAGTTGTTGCCACTTATTCCCAAGTTAACAATACTACTAGAGTATACCAACTTCGGAGGGAAGCTTGCAATATGTGTCAGGGGGAGAGATCTGTGGCTATGTATTTCTCTTCTCTACAGTCTATCTGGGAAGAAATGGATCACTTGAAGACTCTTGTATGGAAGGACCCTGAAGATGGTGAGCAATATCGAAAGTATATAGAGGAGAATAGAGTCTTTGATTTCTTGGCTGGCTTGAATCCAGAGTTTGATTTTACTAGGCAACATATTCTTAGTGCCGGCATTGTCACTCTTGCTTTCGCATACTCCCTTGTACAAGGGGAAGAGAGTAGAAGGACAGCCATGATGCAACCTCCTATGATTGATCACTTTTCCTTTATGTCATCTCCATCCAAGCAAAATACTAGTAAGCACCATGTTATTGAGAAGGCTGAGGATGTGGTTTGTGATTATTGCAAGAAGCCAAGACATACTAAGGAAAAGTGTTGGAAGCTCAATCCTCACTTAAAACCAGAAAAGTACAAAACTGGGAGGAAGGGAAATACTCACTTGGCTATAGTTGGTAATGATGTTCAACCTTCTAATGTTCATGACTCCTCTGATGTAATGGACAAACTCAGGAATTTACTGCTGCAGCTGGAAAAGGGTGGTACATCCTCCTCATCTGGTTCTGGACTTAGTAATCCATCTAGTTCATATGCCAAGACAGGTACTGCACTTGCTTGTTCCACATCTTTTAGTCTTTGGATTGTAGACTCTGGGGCCAGTGCCCATATGACTGGTATGCCTTCACATTTTACCTCATATAAGTTAACCCCAAGGAAGGGCAAAATTAATGTTGTTGATGGATCTGAAACCCCTATTTTGGGTCAAGGTGAAGTCAAACTTACTCATAATCTTTCTCTTGAATCGGTTCTTCATGTGCCCCGATTACATAAAAGTTTGTAGTCTGTTAGTTCTCTTACAAAATCCCATAATTGCTCAATGACCTTTTTTCCTACCCATTGTATTTTTCAGGACCTGAGCACGAGAAAGATGATTGGAAGTGGGCATGAAGTTGACGGAGTCGTATGTCTTTCAATTCTGTAAAACTTTTGTTTCCAAACTTATTTGACTCAGTGTCAAAGTTGAACTTTGAATGTGAAGTTTGTCATCTATCAAAACAGTGTAGAACCACATATTTTGCAAGTAGTAAAAGAAGTAATGTTGCTTTTCATTTGATTCATACTGATGTTTGGGGCCCATAACTATCCCTTGCATGAGTGGGTATAAATACTTCATCCTCTTCATTGATGACTACAGTCGGTATACATGGCTCTACTTGATGAAAAGTCGAGATGAAGTTCCTATGGTGGTTCAAAACTTCATGAATATGGTAGAAACACAGTTTGAGAAAAGAGTTAAGATAATTAGATCTGACAATGCCAAGGAATACTTTGAACATCATTTGCATAGACTTCTTGAAGATCGGGGCTCTATTCACCAGAGTTCATGTAGTCATACTCCACAACAAAATGGGGTAGCTGAAAGGAAGTGTTTCGAATGCAGCTACAATAACCCGAACCAGGAGAGAAGGAAGAAGAAGATGAAGAAGAAGAAAAGAGAAAGAGAAAGAGAGAACAGGAGGGTTTAGTCAAAACTGATTCGTACACTGTTCATTCAACCCCCTAATGTTTATTAGGTTCTAATAACCTTTACAAAGACCAATCTGCCCTTGCTTAAGTGTGGGCAGAGTATCTCTAATAAAACTGCCACATAAGCAAGGTACTTAACAAACATGAGATGACTAAACTACCCCTATTCGGCTCACTTTAACACTCCCCCTAAAGCTGGAGAATATATGTTGTAGAGAACAGTGATGTGGGCCCCACAGTTGTGGTCCCTCTGTCCGTAGGGTAGAGTGTATGTAGTCACAGCTGTGGTCAATTTGTTATTCTGTTGTTATTCATTTTTATTTATTTTATGTGTTAGCAGTTATGATGTAAACACCAAGGGCAGATATGTCCTTTCATGTAACTAGCATAACATATAAATATTAAATGAAAGTGGCGGCKGCAGAAYATTGAGATTYTGTTCYTCTTCTCAAAACTTGTGTTCTACTGCTCTCTCATCACTC